ATATCTCGTTTCTCGCACAATCCCGAGCGACGACCAAGCGCCCACCGCTTGACGCACTGGCCTTGCCTCACAAGCGCATTTGGAAGTCGACATTCTTCATCTCTTTCATTACAAGTTAACAACTCATTTCAACAACAACAACAACAACAACGAGCGACGTAGAGTGGGAGTTGACTTGAATATGGCGGCGCGGAAGAAACGCGGGACACTTGTCCACGAAACTAGCGAAATCGTAGTACGTAGTAGTCCGAACTACACCTGCGTGACTTCGCCACACACGCGCATAGCACGCAGTCGATCGACTTGTAGACTAAGAGAGCTATTCCGTTGCTTTCGACGAGGCACAACACCAAGCAATATAGATCGGATATTGTATCGCGATTAGAATGCACTTGAAAGCGGACTTGAATTTTCGAGAGTTGCCCGCCGTTGGCTCGTTGTACACGGTGCCAGCTCCATTTCCCCCCGCAAAGTGGCCCGGGCCTAGAGAGGGCAGAGTCTTTGATTTAACCAGTGCTCAAAACATTTATGAGATCCGCTCCAAAGTTTCTTCTCGATGTTTGCAAGTTCGACGAGCGAGATGAAATCGTCAAAACGACGGATGGTTTCGATATTTCTCTGGAAATAATGCTCGATGATGCGGACTAGAACGAGCCCAGCATCACGGAATGGTAAGCCATCTTCCACGGAGCAATTGATCAGGACCCGACAAGTTGCTCGGACATAGGAACGCGACCAGAACGAAAAGAATAGCTCTGCGGCGCAGTTGAACCTTCCTCGCCGTTTCTAGCATCTGTGCCAAGCACATGCAGTCTTTGCCGTATGGAGTCTTCCCACCAGAAGAGACGGGAACCATATCAATGGAACGTGGCCGACGTCGCTCCGCCCTGCACATCCTCTTAGCTCGGCAAGCACATCTCTCACCTGGTCAACTTGAGCTTCATGAACAACCAATCACAAATGCGAAACCGTCCTCGCAGCCAATCAGCGCGCGAAACGGCCGCCACAAGTCAACCTGCGCTCATGAACGCTGTTGTCGGATCGCCGGACCTCTGGAGCATCCTCGCCGCCTACCAAGACGGCGTCTACGAAGACGCTCGCCCTTTCATCGCCATCGAGGCCCCTCTCTTGGCCCTTGATATTGCGTCGGGCCTCGAGAAGCTCGTGCCCGTGCTTGAGCACTGGTATGCAACGGTCTCGACTGACATTGCGCGTCGCCGATGGCCGTACTTTGATGTGCGCTTGCCGTGGCTCTCGTCGTACGCTGCGTACTACGCGGCCAAGCTCGGCAAAGTCGACCGCCTCGCCGCCCTCCCAGCGCTGCGCTCGGTCGAGTCGCCCGAGGTCGTCGTCGAGCTCGCAATCGAGCACCACCAGCTGCACGTTTTAGAGTTTCTCCATGCAACATTTGGCGCGTCAGCGCCATGGTTCACCAAGGACACGCTCACGGTCGCAGCCGCTGCGGGCAGCTTGCCGGTCGTCCGATATGTGTACAATAATGTCGCTTGCGGCGGTACGTACGACGCATTCGACCTCGCGGCATCGTTTGGTCACTGGAATGTGGTTCTCTACCTGCACTTGCACACGCAGCTCGGAGCGACGACAGCCGCCATGGACGAAGCGGCAGCTCATGGACATTTGCATATCGTGCGATTCCTCCTAGAGAACCGCAGTGAGGGCTGCACGATGGGCGCGATGGACGGCGCTGCGGCCAACGGGCACTTGGACGTCGTGTCGTTCTTGCATCAGATGCGACGCGAAGGGTGCTCGACGCGTGCGCTGGACGGTGCAGTTGTGCACGGTCATGACGCGGTCGCGCGCTTCTTGATCAAGAACCGTAGTGAAGGGTGTGGACCCAAAGCCCTTGCTGCCGCCGCCCTTCGACGCGATTCCACGATGCTCAAAGCACTGCTGGCGCACCAGCAGCGCCGCGCCAAGGCCAGTCAGAACCGCTTCAAGATGACGACGCACTTGATGCGCTGGCTCATCCCCGATTTCTTCCACAAGCGCACGGTCGCCCCGCCTTCATGACATCAGACTGAATCATACCTTCGAATCCCAAGGTACTTGCAGCCACGAGCTATTGTTAAATGCCACATCTACATAGTACCGCTTGCATCCCATTAGCTTTCTACTCCAAATCGATCGTGCAAAAATTGATCTATCTCTCTTCATGATCGCTTTTCGTGACGTGGCATCCTCGCCGACCGACACTGCAAAATGATTATATATTGGTCAAAATGCGAGCAATATACACCAATCAGCGACCAACGAAGGCGCCAAACTACAATCACTGGTGCCCACCACGATGCTACCGCTCTGCCGTCGCGTGCTGGTCCGCGCTTGCTCGACGCTGCCACCGGCGCCCGAGGTCATTGCGCCCAAGAACTATGGCGACTTCAACACGCTCGCTGCGGTACGTCTCATCCCTCTTCTTATAGCTTATTGGTATGTAGGAGGTACGCGCGATCGCCAAGGCGCAGGCCAAGAAGCGCCTAGAGATGCCCGACACGCAGCTACTCAAGAGCCTCGAGCGCAACGACCTCATCCACGCCATTCGCAAGAAGCACGGCGGCTTCGTTGCGGTTGCCCAAAAGCTGAGTTTGCCTATTGTGACCAACACCACGAGCACCGAGGTCCATAAAAAGCTGGCGGTGCGTCAAAAGCGACGACGCGCGCGGCTCGTCGACCTCAAGAAACACAACGTATTTTAAGAAATCAGGGCCAACTAACCGCCTTTGTCTTCTTCAAGCAACCTGCGACGGGTCCCTGCGCTCTCGACGGTCTTGTGGCCGTTTGTTTGCACTGGCATAACGCTACCAACGCACATGACCTCGTCGACAAACTAGCGACGTACTAGTATACATGAACGGCCTATGCAAAAAATTGCCGTCAGTTTAGTATCTGCTATTTCGCAAGCCTACAACAAGGTGACCATCAACGCAAATGTCCGTTGTGTGATGCATTGTGCGACTCGTACGATGTCCCGATGACTCGATGAGGTACTCTTCCTCTACCGTAGTAGTGAGGTCCTCAATGTGCTCTTGAAGAGAGAAGAGGCGACTATGCTGTACAAAGAAATTGAAAAATCATTTCTTATTTCATGGCTCTGGCATTTACTACCACAACTCGTCCTCGTCCTCAAGGTACATGTCAAAGACGAGGCGCCACTCTTGTGCAGGGCAGGGCTGGTCGACAATAATGTCCCAGAGATGACAAATGGTCTCGTCGCCGCTCTTGACGTGAATGCACTTGGTAGGGTCTTTCATCGATCGAATGAGCGTCCCGTCGTAGTCCCATTCCTGATTGAGCCACGAATGGTGCATGAGTTCCCAGAGCAGACACACGTCGCCGTTGAACGTCGGTCCGTGCTCGCAGAGGTTGATGCCTTTGGTCGAATCGACCGCCGACCGGATGAAATGGCCGTCGAGAACCCACGCCTGCGCAGGGTTTCGCTTCGACTTGCTCGTTTGCCGAATAACGCACTTGTCGCCATCACGGCCGTCGTCATGGTCCAGCTGCAAGCACATGGACGGGTACTTGACCGACTGGAACCGGAACGCACGCCGCGGTCGCGGCTCGTCGTCAAAAATGTGGGTCGGCACACCGTTGTCATAGATGAGTGCTATTAATTCGTTTAACCGGATATGTCGAAAGTGCTACTATTGGCTTGGCGTACGGACCGGCTGCTTCGCCTCACATCATGGTTGTGTGGTGGGGGTGTGGGGGGGGGTGGTGCCAGCATTTCTGCGGACACCTACGTGGCGCAACCGCTGTATTACGGTTACGCCATAGTGGCACTACCTCACTTATTCAGTGGGCTACCACCCTTAGACGGTACACGAACTTTTCAGCGCATGCAACGCCACGCGTCGTTTGTCGGGGTACCCCCAATTAAGGTAAGGTACCCGGTCCTGCAATTCCCTTGTCAGTCCCTTTTCCCCGGTGGTTGTATCCGGTTTTAAGGGTCGGCACACCGTGTTGGCGACACTGTTCGATCGCATGGTACAGGGATCGAGCCTTGATCGCGATGTCGATGCCAATTTCTTGGAGGTCCTCGACGCAGCGGCAGTGGGCGAGCGCATGTCCATCAATCTCTTGGCGCAGGAAAAGCCACTTGTACGCGCTGCACTTGAGCGCCGAGAGCAGTTGGTACACTTGCAGAGCCGAGAGAGACGCCAAAGGAACTGTCGTCCCCGCATCGACGACTGCATACGCGACGGGTACCTTGGACGACATAGTGTTGGTGGGCAATGAAGAAGTGACGTCCATTTAAGTCGCCAGCGCTTCACGGACGCCAATGAATTGATATCAAGTTGATACTTTGAATCGATGAAAAGTGTCAAGTCCCGCCACGACCACAAACATTCATCAGTTCAAATCAAGACAGGCGGGTTGATCATGTTGCCGATAGTATCCCGCAAGCCAGTCGACCGCCGTCACCTCGCATCGCGTTGCGTTGGACTTGCCGTGATGCAGTATCGTCTCGTGTCCCTAATGCTTGCGAATTCAACGTCATCTCGCCATCGTCCGGACCATGAGCTAAGCAGAAGAATCGTCATGGCGGGATGTATAGGTCCGCTCGTGTGTGGTCATGCAGCTTTCCCAGTCCGCCCACGGCGGTATGTCATCGACGGCCGATGTGGTTGCATGCTCCGACGCTTCGTGTTGAGCCAGGCACAAGGACACGTAGGTACGGTGAAACAAGAACGTTCACGCAACAAGAGCAACCAAACCAAGGGCCAAATATCAAATCAAGCACGACTCACTGCACGGGGCACTGCTCGTCGTCGTCCTTCTCATCGGCCTCTGACTTGATGGGCTCGTTGAACGGCAGCGAGAGATTGCTTGCGATCGACTCGGTATCGTCGAGCTCCGAGGGCGGCGCGGCATTCTACACAAACCATGAGGCGTCGCAGTCACGTCACACAACGTACCGCGGGCGACTGGCACGGGCATGAAAAACTGTTGGCGACACCGGCAAAGTAGCAATGGTTGCAGACTAACGTCGCCATGAGCCACGACGTACGAGCTTAGGATGCAGCATCTACCATGGCAGTGCTGGCTGCGGTGGGACCCGCACCGCTTGCAAATTTCACAGTGTTTGCGCGGCTGCTTGCTGGACCAGACCTTGTTGGTGCACCACGAGTAGTGGAACGTCGCATCGCACGCCGTGCACGAGACGGGAAATGCATACGTGCCATCGGGCTTGAGTTCGGGCTGCAGCAGCGTCTCGTACACGTGGCACGTCTAGGCGGCGATATGAGGGACATAGCTCGGAAGACGACGGAACGTACGCGGTGGGTGCCGCAGCTGCAGTCAATCTCGACGGGGCCCATGAGAATGTCTTCCATGCTCCGGATCTTGCTCAAATTTTGCATGAGGCATTTGTCGTGGATCATCTTTTCGATTTGGATGCCTTTCTATCAATGTTTCAACACAGCATTGTAAACAGGACAGACACACATGGCGCGCGTACCTTGTGCATAGGCACGAACGGGTTGGAGCACTCTTGGCACTTGCAGTCGACACCACAGACCCGGCCGGCCTTGACGCAGGCGCAGCGGGCGTTCCGGCACTTGCCCGTGCACCGACAGCGTACGTCTTCGGGCGCCTTGGCCGTCGATGCCACCGACTTGGTGTCGTCAAAATCAACTGGCTTCTTGACCTCAGCCTTGATGTCGACGGCCTCAGCGGGTGGCTTCTTGGACGGTCGTCGCGCCACGACGGGACCCGCGGCTTCAAATTGCTCAAACTCGGGCGAGACGAGCATGCGGCGCTTGCCTGCGTCCAGAGAGTACGGGTGGGCAGGAGGGATCGACGGCGGTAGGACGTCGGGCATGGGTAGCGGCTGCTGCGACGGCGACTGCTGCTCTGCGCTCGTCTGTTGCTGGAAGCGGTTGAGCGGCCACATGGACATGGCCGTCGTCTTGAGCATCTTGGGTAGCGACGACGGGTCTTGCAAGGTCATTGACATCAAGGACGCTGCGGTCGCGGACGCCGCCGACGCCATGCTGTTGGGCAACGAGGTGGCCGGCGATGTGGCCGGCGGGATCATATCGGGGTGCAGCCGGCTCTGCGGGATCTCCTTCCACTGCGTCGGCGCCTCCTCGTCGATGGCTTCATTGAGCACTTTCCAGTCGATGCCGCCGCCACGGAACTCGGTCTCGCGCGGGCTCGGCATCGTGTCTACACCACCACAAGCGCATGAGCATGAGGCAGGACAAAGCGCGGCCTACATGGCGAGAAGAGGTGAAGCAGTGCATCTTGTTCGGACTGCGAGTGGGCCGAGAGCGTGCCCGAGCCAAGCGACTGCTGCAGCCAGGCGAGCGTCGACGGCGACATGGTCACGGACGGCGACGCCGAGTTGAGCTGCGGGTCGAGGATGAAGGACGAGAACGCGCTGTCGAGCTCATGCACTTGGTTGGGCCAGGACATGAGGTCGGCCTCATTCGTCTTCTCCTCGTCCGGGTCGAGGAAGTCGTCGAGGAGCGCGCTGTGCTGGTGCTCCGCCATCGTCGTCGCTTCTTCAAGCTTGTCGGACCGCCTTATCCGGAGTTGGGTTTTTGGATCCATGGCCTGCCTCGAATAAAAATACGCGCGCCACACTTTTGAATTGTATTGAATATTGAAATACAGAGAAAAAACACACCGAAGATGACGAAACACCAACATTCGCCGCCATAATTGTGGCGCGTGCCACGTTTAAAGCAAATCCTTCGACATTTAGCTGCGACCAGGTTCAACGAGATGCAAGCGTCGATGAGCCTCATCGACGCTTGTTGGAGCCTCATCATGAGGCTCCAACAATGGGACTAAACGCAAACCAAACTAGTCCCAACCATCATTAGCATCACCACATGCGATCGTGCAGTCTTTTGCCATCGAATTAGTCCACAATAAAAGTTCTTATTGCGTCAGTCCTCAGCTTCGTCGCATCCTTAGCGTAGGAAGACCACGAGCCATGTCGCCAGCACCACCAAGTGCAGTCGTCGCAGCACATCGTAGATGGATGGCGATCCATTGAGAAGACTCGGTGTGCACACAGGCAGCGCTTGCGTGCCGTCGCTCGTAAAAACATTCGATCGGAACGGTGACCCGGGAAATGGGAACCGGTAGTACTGCAACTCGCCGAGCTACACTGTATCGATGAGTCTCGGAGCAAAGAACGTTGACTGATGACATTGTTGGCGTAGGTGCTGATCTCGGGCTCGTAGCCATTGACGTACGCGGGATCGCCGCACCGCCAGAGGTCCTTGGCTTGCTAATGCAAGCGTCGTGTAAGCGACAGAAGATTCGATCGTGTTTGTACCATGCACGCTTTAAAGTAGTTTTCGCAGACGCTGCGGCACATGACGAGGCTCACGCCTGCGTCGTCGCAGCGGGGAAAGTTGAGCCAGCACATGTAGTTGCGAAATGCATCTTGGCAATCACGGTTCTCCTACAAGAGTATTCGTTCCGTGTACAATGCTAAGTTGAGGCATACCGTGAAGCGCGGGACGATCTCGCCCGTGTTGCCCCACTCGTCGCGCTCTATAACATACATTGTCCGGTCTGAACTATCGCAAGAAGCAACGCCGTACTTGCGTTGTTGAGGTCCACGTCTTGCTCGAAATACTCGCGCTGCTTGACGAGCTTTTGGTACATTTGCGAGAGAAAGAGGTCCTTGGACTTGACCGAGTGGTTGTACCAAATCGTCTGCGCCTCGGGGATGCACGCCGTGTACTGCAAAAGTGGCCCGCAAAACGGCATGTACTGGAGAAACACGCTCGGCGTTTGGCACTCGCCCGTGCTCGCGCCCATGATGCGACAGGCCAGGAGCCCGCGCAGGGCCCCGAGTACAAGTAGAAGAAGGCCGCGCATCCCTTCAAGATCTTATTGTCGAGCGCATCGGATTGGATGAAACGCATGGCATGGCAGTGTCCATATGGACGGTGATTGGCTGTTGGTGTAGCTGTTGGAGTGTGTCGTTGGCATTTTGACCAATCAATGATTGGTAAGCACTCACAGGGGTTGGGCGAGTACGAGTACGTGCCTGCTTCCGAACAAGCCAACGCGGAGGAGACCCACGCGTGACCGCATAGAAGAGGCGCGTGGCGGACGGACGATTTCTCGTGCAGAAACAAGCGCCTTGACAATGCGTTAGAAACGTATGTGATTGGCTGAAAATACGGTTCCCATCGACCCTGATTGGTGGGGACACATAAAACCCGCCGTGAGGGGCGAACGTTGCTCTCTCAACTGACTGCCGCCTCCATGCCGCAGCGCTATGATGCATGCACCGTCGCGCCGATGGAAGGAAAGCTCATGGACTTCCAACTCTCGCCTTGCTGCATCTCGACGCAAGATCATGTGATAAAGATAAGCTTAGATTTCAAAATATTAGAGATTGGAAACGGAGGGCTATACAGACATGCACCAAGTAGAGGAATTCGTGGGTTGGTCGCGTGGGGTGGAAGACGGTGGGCTTGCTTTTTACATGGTCGTCTCGACGTCGTACTGCGCGACGCGCGCCATGCACTGGTTGGAGATGATGGCTTTGAGCCGGTCGCGGATCGTGTCTTCGTTCAACACGGTCTCGTCCGAGCACAGCTGAAACAAGCGGTGCTCCATCTTGTACGCGAGCTTGGGGACTTTGTCGGTGATCGTCGTGACGTGGAGCGACGTGGACGAAGCGCTGTCATTGAGCAGCTTGGTGATGATCATGAGGTGGCGGCGGCGCACGGCGGACAAACCCGCTTTCAATGGACCACTCGCCACCATGTCTGCTCCACGACACCGCAAATCAAAAGTGCGGTGGCATTTCCAAAGTCGATTTAGCAAGCGCGTTTTCATATCTCATATCTTTGTCCTCAGCGTGTCTCTGTGGATCCAAAATGGCCGTTCCAAACTGTGGCCCCCATCCCAATTCACCATCGCATACTATTTTTCGAACGGCCGACCTGGCATCCGTACGTCGGAGCCTCCACACGCACCACGACTGCTATTTCGTTGCAAGTACTGTTCATGAATGAAGGTACAAGGAGCGGTCGACGAGCACGGCTCTTATTCCGTATGTCCAACTCGGTCTTTGAGTCAGTATTGTTCATTTGATGTCAACGCGCTTGCTTATTGATGGACGCCCACCTCGGCATAACCGCATCGGCTTGGTCGCAACTCGCTTCAACTGTATCTTGCGCGAGGGTGATGTGCTGGCTCAGACCCGATCCGCTGGCGCACGTTCTGGTTCCTCGAAGGTTTCGAGTGGCACATGTGACGCCAGCGTACTCTGCTCGTCCCGCATTTCTCTCGGAAGCCTCCGCCGACACCGTTTCTCTGGCGCTGCAACCCAAAGTCCTTGTATCGGACGCGCGCCATCCACATCGTACGAATGGGATCGAGCAAGCCTAGCGCAATGGCCACGCTACAAAAACACGACCGATCCCAACCCTACCCCTTTCATTTGAAATGCAATCCGAGAAAAGGACCAATCAGCGCCCGCAAATGCTGGGATCCATGATCATGCAGTACCCTGCAGCTGCGCTGGCTGCTACTTCCGCAGTTGCGTACTCCGATACGATTACGAGGAGCGCGAGAAGGCGACCACGCGTGTCTGCAAGCGGAAGAAGCTGGCTGCGTGGTTATGCCTCATGGATACACGGCGTAGCGGTCGGGTTCCGACACGAGCGTGAGTGCCTGGTCGCACCAGACCGACGCACGGGCGTCACGCGCCACGTGGCATCACGAGGTTGTTGCACGCCGTACATTACGTATACGACTAGGAAAATGGCGTAAACTCCAGGTTGCGCATCGTCTGGAGCATTGCTTTGGCTTCGTCCCGCTCCTAAGTCATTGTATCGCGTTAAGTTCGTGGCACAGAAGGTCGACTACCGGTCCTTGGCGGTCGAGCAGTCGATTGCACCACTCGGTGGCCGTCGTGTAAAGTCGCTTCTCTTTAAAGTACTGCGCGAGAAAGAGAACGGCGCTGGCGGCTTCGGGCGAGTCGACTACGGTGAGGCCGCGGTCGCGCCAATACCTACCAGCACGCAATGAGAATACGCGGACTTGTCATGCGTCGCACAGCTGATAAAACTCGGCGGCTTTTTCCGTGTTGTTTTCTTTTTGAAAGAGTCGGCCGAGGCGGTAGACGGCAATGCACTCGGCGTCCTTGTTGCCGATCGCTCTATCCCGCCCGTTGTGATTAGGATACTTGGATATTTAGTGGATAGAACGTTGTGTACCGTTGATAACACATTTTTGCGTGCCCAGGCTGCGGCGTCGGGAGCTTCTCGTAGCAGCCACCCAGCGCACACCACATGCGCGCATCGTACGGGCGGATCGCCGCGGCCTTCTGGTAGTAGTACACGCTGTAGTGGATCAGCTCGAGGATCTCGTACGCTTGGCCGAGGCCATACCTATCGCGATACATCCATCTCGAAACTGCAAGAACGGCTCTTACCACGCACGGTAATCCTTGGCGTTGATATCGATCGCGCGGCGATAGACTTCAATGGCGGCAGCAGTGTTGCGCAGCTCAATGTACTCGTGTCTACGCGTTGTTGGTTTTGAGAAAAAAAAGCAAAAAAAAACCCAAAAAAGCAAAAAGCAATAAAAGTAAAAAAATCGGACCCGATGAGCGTCCAGGCCGAGAGGCACTGCGGGTCCAGCGTCAGCGCGCGCGTGAAATACAGTATCGCGCGTTCGTGCTGGCCTACACGGTAGGAGATAGAGATCTACACCCGGAGGACTATATCTAATACCTTTGAGCGAGTAATAGTTGCCAATGACGCAGCAGGTCTCGGGACGGTACTTGTCGACGTGCTGGAGGTGCTGGGCCAACGAACTCAACCCCGACTTGTCTTCCTACGTACATGGAGTGCACTCGGTAATGGTAGTGTTGTGTAGGCAGTGTACCTTGACGTACAGGACGTTCGAGTATAGATCCATTTGGTCGACGCGGTAGGGGTCGGCTTTGGTCAGTGCCAAGAACGACTCGTGGGCCTGGTCGAAATCTAGTTGCCGATTCAGTTTCACTCGACTAGAAACACGACAACGAGACCTTGCAAATGGTACTGGGCAGCGGCCGTTTGGGCGAGGAGGTACTGGCACGTTGGAAATTGCTTGCGCAGTGGCAATAAAACCTACATAAGTCCATTCATAAATCCAACCGCAAGATAGAATCGACTGCCTACCTCCAAGGCCTGGGACCCATGGTTTTGTTCTAATAGCACATGCACTTGGAAGAGGTCAACCATCCATGGGCACGTTGCAGAGAGCTCGTTGACGTCCTGCCGACGTCCGAGTGAGTGCAATGAAAGAGGCGGCGTCGCACGTACAAAGGGCGACGCAGTGTCGAGCTGCACCGCTTGCGCAAGCTCGAGCCAAGCCGACCAGTTCCATGGAAACCATTGCAGCGACCGCCAAAGCAGCCGCTGGACATGGTCGCTTCTACGAGATCACGTCGATTTGCATACCGCACACGCCGTTCGTACGTAGCACCCGGTGCCAAGCCGGCGATCTGTTTGACCACAATCGCGTAGAGGTACAAGCCAAATGCGTCGAGCTGGCCGTTTTCGTCGGCTGTCGAGAGGTCCTCTTGAAGCTGTCGAAGGTACGGGTTGACTGGCTTGGGCGGGCTCGGCGCCGTGAGCTTGGTCGTCTCGGCGACGACTTTCATCTCGGTGCTCATGGCTTCTTTGCGCCGCTCACCGGCCTAGCGCCATCAGCATCGCATCGTCAACGTGTGATGCCAAGGCGGTAACGTACCAAGTAGCGAGCATACTGCAAGAGGAAGAATTCGACGGACGACAACGCACCGCGCTTCGCTTCGAGGATATGCGCTGCGCGGGCGTACTCGGACACGTCAAAGTACGAGCGCGCGAGCTCGAGGACGCCATCGGTGCTGCGGATGGCCTACGACTGGACGCATCAACGACAGGCGGCGAGGTCAAAGCGCACCTCGCGCGCCGGCGGCGACGCATGGACGCGCTCGTGCAGCACGCTCGGAAGACCAGCGTAGAGCTCGCAGGCAAAGGTTGCAGCATGCTTGAGGCCACGCGCCGAGAGCGCATCGCGGGCCGCGGCCAGCGCCGATGCCAGACCACCGTTGTCCATCCCAGCGGCAAATCTTTAATTAACCGGACATCCGGATATAGAGACACATCACGTTTTAAACGCTGTATGAAAACACTGCCTTCGCCATTACATCGCAGGTCAGGCTTGGGATGGCCAGCTCGCCGACCAGTGTGAGTCCATCTAGCCAATGACTACGTAATACGGCATCGCTCCACGCGGCGTCGAGGCTCCACCGCCATTATGCACTGTTCGTCCAACGACGGTCGGTCATTTCGACCTCAAAGAGGGCCGACAAGTGGATGAGACCAACACCGCGCTCAACCGAATGCCGGGACACACCTAAATGCAGCTTGCCCCACGCGGCTGCCCCATGCGCCATCTTCTCTTGCTTCTCCATGCCGCGCCTCAAATCCATTCCAAGCACGAGCTTCTCTCAACGTTGCCTGCCAACGACGCGCCTCGGGCACTTGCATGGTATCGTGGGCCGCAGTCGCTAAGGGCGATTCGCTTTTGCTGGCTGCGATGCCCGTGGCCTCTTGTCGCCCTCACGCTCAACATGGCGGCATGCCGAGCAACCGAAGCGGCGTCGCGTGCATTTTTCGCGCATCGAGAGGGGCAGGCACGTTGCCGCGACGGGGTGACGCCGGTGGTGCATCGTGCGCGTTGGACGACTCGCTGCTCGCGGGCCTTTGTGATGGTATATTTCTATCGTAAGACGATATTGCCTGATGCGACCATGGCCAGCAGCAAGAGAAGTCTAGCCAGCCGTTGGCATGGCAGAATCACAAATTTCACGTTGAAATTCTGGCAAAGTGGGCCCATTTACAAAACAGTCATATTTCCTGATCGTCCCGATAAACTTGTGGGCTAGCACAAGCAGTTGGGTACTACATTGTACACTATTTTTGGTGTGTTTGGGGCTTGAGCGACGACAGACTATGCCCTGTACATACCATTACATCGACGCATACAGCGTCTATCCAAGTGCGTTGCATCACGTCAGTGGCCACATATCATTTCGCACCAGATGATGCCAGACAAGAATACCATCTCATGCGGTGATGTAACTTCGTGCACCAACGTATGTGTACGCGATAGAACGAGATATACTATTGAAGCCTCCTGGCGCCACTTCTGGTTGCTGGAGAGTCGACGCACTGGCCCACAAGTCTCGTAGCATGGGAATATAATCGCATCTCCACTGGATTCTGTGACCCAGCCAATGTGTCAACCACCAGCTCGCAGCTTGCAAAGGTACGCTGACCAGCGTTGCCTCAAAAACATCACACTGGATTTGAGCCGTCGTCCACTGTATCTTCCAGAGTTTCATTTTTCAACGCCCTATCAACGCAACCTCAAGCACAGCAAACTCAGTCGACATGGTCCATCCACAACCAGTGTGCAAACAAGTCGAAGGTCGCACGTTGAGTGCAGCGTAGCGGATCTGTACCGGCAAGCACCACAGTTCCCACCGAAGCATTACGCGCGCGTTCTCTTCTTCTCTGCCCCCAAAAGCTGTCTCAATGACTGTATTCGATGTCATTCGCCTCGTGCGTCACTTGCCGCGCCTCGAGTTGCACGACGCGTTTGTATACACCACGCCACTCCATAGCACTGGATCACCAAGAAAAACTGGTTGTTCTTGGATAGCCGATCGCAAGCGCCGTATTAGTATGGATGCAACCTATCAGCCATCTAGCATCGAGCAGCTCTCCCCATTCGCATGTGTAGCGAAGGCGCGGGATCTCACCAGGTATTACAACTCCACCCCAAGCACTGGCCCTACAACGTCGTTTCGATGTCATGCCCTCTCTTAATGGGTTCATGGGTTCATGGACGCTGAAAGTCGCCGCCGGTTCGAGCCTCGTCCCAACACCCTTTTACCCTCCTGCATAGTCAGTGAGCTGGCATGACCGCGTGTCAAAGCGATTGCGCGCGTCGACCCTGTCAACGTTTCCGGATGCCCGTTTTATCCGAACAGCCAACATCCGGTTACGCGTTCGAAGCTCACAGATCCGAAAAAGCACGCATCTTGAAGCATGGTGCCAACCAGCCCGATCCTGCGCGCGCTCTGGATGCCCGAGGTCCTCCGCAGCATCGTCGCCTTCCAGGACGGTACGCCCGAGGAGTTCGTGCCCTTCGTCGTCGCCTACGACAACACCTCGCTCTGCCTCCGCTACGACGACCGCCCGGCCTTTTTGCTCCTGCTCGCCACGTCCGGCGTCCGCGGCTTGCGCTGGGTCCACCGCCACCGCGCCGACTACATGTCGATCGAAGTGCCCGAGTACGTTGCCGCCTCGGGCAACATCGACGCGCTGCGCTACGTGCACGACGAGGCGGCGATGCCATTGACCGACCTCGTGCTGGCCGCGGCCGCCGAGCAAGGCCACTTGGCCATGCTGCGCGCAATCCTCGACCTGTGCCCCGATTTGGACTGTACGAAGGCGCTCAACCTCGCGGCCGAGAATGGCCACGGCCATATCGTCGCGTACCTCGTTGAGACACTTGGCGTCGATGGCTCGGCGTACGCTTTGGAGCGCGCGGCCCGCCATGGGTACATTGCGATCGTGCGCATGCTCGTGTCGGCCAAAGGCATCCGACCGCGCGACTGCAAGACCGCCATGGAGTACGCGTGGCGCTTCCAGCACACACATGTCATGGACCTGCTGCACGAGCGGGCGTTGGTCCCGTACCCGCCGCCGCCAAGCCGAACCGACGTCGCGCTTCCGATCGCTGCGGTCGCGGCCATGACTGTCCTCGCATGGCTCTTTGCGTAGAGCAACGACGACTAGTATATATTTACGCCACCCCAATAATCTAAATACGACGCAACCTCACGTCGCTTCATCTTGCAGATCTTTCATCTTGCAGGTCCCAGTAGCTGTCCCTGTTTGATCGACTCGGAATGTACAGTACTGTACCGTACGGCGAGGGTGCACGGTTGGCATCGACACAGAGAACGCAGGCCCTCGCACCGTATCGATTGCCGTAGTATCGAGGATCCGTCTGACCAAGAAAGCAAAGATTCCCGCCTGGCTCCTCAGCAACGACCCAACACGTGCTTGGTTTCAAATATTAGTGTCTCGATTAAAAGTTAGTTGTGGCGATGACTAAAAGCCCAAGAGGTTGTCGGGACTCGAGGTCGCCGTCGTCGCTGGCGCGTTGCCAGTAGGCGCAGCATCCGCACCGCCCAGCTGCTTCTTGATGGATGGCGTCGCAGCCAGCGCGGCGTTCGAGTTGGCGTACGTCCCCACGTTGAGCGATGCCCGCTGGGCTTCCTGCGTCTGCCGCTTGGAGCCTCGGAGACGGTCGGCGAGCGCACTGTTCTTGGGCGTCGACGAGCTTGTCGAAATGTTGCCGGACGACGTCGACGGCGCTGCATCACCAAAGATCGAGAGGTTAACGCCTGCCGAGGTCGGGGCCGGTGGTGCGCCGCTGCCGCCAAACGGATCAAACGCCCCGGCCGGCGCTTGCGCGCTCGAGGACGTCCCACTGGACGTGCGTGAGCTCGGTTTGTCGCCGCCGCCGAAACAGCTGAACATGTCGCCACCGCCATCGGCGCCGGTGGGTGTGCTCGGCGGCGCCTTCTTCTCGAGAAGGTTCTTGATGTTGTCGTACATGACGGGCTGCGCGGCCGGCGGGCCTTGCGGAGGCATGCCCATACCATTGGGCGCCATGTTCATGCCGCCGCCCATGCCGTTCATCATGCCCGGCATCGCGTGCATGCCGCCCATGTTCATACCACCCATGGGTGACATCGGAGTCATCCCTGGCATACCGCCCATGTGCATGGCAGACGAGCCGTTGCTGCTAAAGTTACCCGTTGGCATACCGCCCATGCTCATGTTCATGTTCATGCCAGGCATGCCGCCCATCGGTGGCATCGCGGCGTGCATACCAGGCATACCGCCCATGTTGATGGACGAGCCGCCGTTGCTGCCGCAGTTGGAGGCAGGCATGCCACCCATCATCGGGTTGCCGTTGTTCATACCGCGGCCGTTGCTGCCAAAGTTGGACGTGGGCATACCGCCCATGTTGGCCTGCGGTGGCGGCGCGCCGTACGGCGGGTAGCTCGGCGTCGTCGTGGGCTTGCTGCCCTTGCCGCCAAGAGGGTCGAGGCCCGCAAACACGTCCATGGTGCTTGTTCGCTTGTTGCTGGAAATTCGGAAATGCAACTGCGGAAGCCATGCGAGTGTCTAAAAATAGCACTTTATCCGGCGACGTATCTTGCGTATCCGGATTACTGGTCGCTTCAACCTTCAACGGCGCTCGCCATCATGGCCACCGTTTCCACGGAGAGATCCCATCTTGGTCCTGTCGCTGCAGCGAATGTGGCATCTGGTCGCAGGAGATTGGCAACCTAACGCATGGCTGGAAAAGATGCGCACGGAAGAGGCTCCAATGCGTTGTCAACCTTCCACGTATAAAGAATGCAACGCAAAATGGCGCTGGGAAATAGCTTATGGAGTCCATGGCTTGCTAAATGGCGCTTTTACATTATACATGATATTGCGATGAAACGTGCGTAACCCGGCTTACACCCCATTTACCAAGGCGCAACGGGAGTAGTGAAGGGTTGACGTGGCCATGACCGCCGTTCCAAGTTTCGAGGCTGCTTTCTCACGTTCAGTCGCTTGCTTTTGGCTATAGTACGTAAGGTCTACGTACCGGCAGTTGCTGCGGCTCGATCGCGTTGTGCGCGTCTGGAGCTGTTGCGCTGGCAGTGCAAGCCCGAGTTCGAGTTCTACCTGGCAGGCTGCAGGTTTTTAATCTGTTATCCGTAAATAATACCCTTTATCCGGTATTCGTAGTCGGAATTCCTACAGCTCGAAGGCATACAAAGACCAAGTGTATCTGCGGAAATCAATTTCACACCCCGGCCACCGCTCAATCCGATGGACTTGCTGGCCGCGTACGCAGCGTCGAGCGACGAGGAAGAGGTCGCGCGGCCGAGCGTGAGCATCAACTCGGCGCCCGACGTTCTCCTGCCGCTGGCCACGTCCATGGCGCTGGCGCCGAACGCCAAGACGCTGGCGCTCAACCAGCCCATTGGCACGTCCATGGCGCCGGTCCTCGGGCCCAAGAACCCGTACATGCGCCACAACCCATTGCAGGTCGGCGCCGGCAAAGAAATCGTGACGGGCGTCGTCGAGGCGACGGCCATGGAGGACTTCTGCTTTGACGAAGTCTACCACGCGCAGCAGTTCCGCCAAGCGACGACCGACCCGCTCTACAAGAAGGCGCCGAAGCGCAAGGTCGACCCGAACTTTGTCAAGGACGTGGGCTCCGAGGCCGACCATGGCGTCTGGGCGCCGCAAAAGAACAAGAGCACGTTCTGGGTCCCGTCCGACGTCGAGGCCGGCACCATCTCGGACGCGCAGAAGGCGCTCATCGCCGAGAACGAAGCCAAGCGGGCGAAGCGCGTCACGGACGACGACGACGAAGTCGACTTTGACCGGATGATCGAGCGCAAGGTTGCGCATCTGCTGCCGCCGCGCCTCCAGCCCGGCCAGAAGGCGGTCGAGCCCAAGTTCGTTCAGCGACTTCTCGATACAGCGATGGCTCATGGGACACGTTTAGGACCGCGTATCTGGACCGCGAAGAGTACGACTACCAAGGCCGCTCGTGGATCGAGCACCCGCGCGAGCTCAAGGCGGACGACGGCCAGCACGACGTCTTCCTTCCGAAGAAGGCGATCCACCAGTGGGAAGGGCACACGAAGGGCGTCCAAGCAATCGAACTCTTCCCCAAGTACGGGCATTTGCTGCTCAGTGGCAGTCTCGACTCGACGGTCCGGATTTGGGACGTCTACAACGAGCGCAAGTGCAAGCGCATCTACCAAGGCCACACGAACGCTGTGCGTGGCATCAACTTTGCGCCCGATGGCAAGACGTTCCTGACGTGCAGCTTTGATCGGTTCATTCGGCTCTGGGACACAGAGACAGGCCAGGTCCTCCAGACGTACACGAACCGCCGCGTCCCGTACTGCATCAAGGTACCATGCTCAGTCCTCCACATTGCATTTTCCTTATGTATCTTGGCGGTAGTTCCACCCGGTCGAGACCAACCAATTTGTCATTGGCGACTCGAACCACATGATTGTCCAGTTCGATACGCGCTCGGGCGGTGCGTCAGACAATGCCATTTGAAATCGGGAGGTGACCATGGCGAGTAGAGGTCGTCCAAGAGTACAATCACCACTTGCAGACGGTCAACGCCGTGACGTTCGTCGACGACAACCGGCGGTACCGACTACGGACAGCCTCTTGATGCTGACGATGGTATTAGGTTTGTGTCGACGTCGGACGACAAGAAGATTCTCATTTGGGAGTGGGGCATTCCGGTCCCGATCAAGTACATCTCGGAGCCCGGCATGCATTCGATGCCGGCCACGTCCTTGCATCCGAGTGGCAACTACTTTGCCGGCCAGTGCTTGAGCAACCAGATTGACGTGTACACGGCGCGCGACAAGTTTAAGCTCCAGCGCCGCAAGGTGTTTCGCGGCCACGCTTGTGCCGGGTATGCGTGCCAAGTCGGCTTCAGCCCCAACGGCCAGTACGTGGTCAGCGGCGACGGTGAAGGCCAGCTCGTCTTTTGGGACTGGAAGACCACGCGCATGTTCAAGAAGGTCCAAGCGCACTCGAAAGGCCCGACGATGGGCGTGGCGTGGCACCCGCTCGAAGCGTCCAAGGTCGTCACGTGCGGCTGGGACGGCCTCATCAAGTACTGGGACTAGACGGACCCTATGTGCTGGACGCCAGCGAGCTCGATCGATGCCAGTGAATATAACGACGATGAAAATGAAAACGATGAAAAGGACACGATTCGAGTCGTGGGCCGCCGAGTATGGGCTGCAACGACGCCATGATTACCGTCGACACCCGCGCATCACGATGGGACAACGACCTGCTGGACCGCCCCCAACTCATCTTACTAGACCTATCCAATCACCTATGCATTGGTGCCGTTTTGTATCAATGTGTCAAGTTGACAGCGTCGCGTGTCATGATGATTATAGACTCTCGAACCCGAATTGGTGTTTTTGTGCGTGCAAGGGACATGTTTGTCTTGGAGAAATCAAAGAATACAAAAATGATGGAGCTCACGTACAAGGTTGCTGGATAAATTACACACAAGCAGCAAGCAAGGAGCTAGATCTCTTCGACGCTCGGCGTCGACGACGTCGTCGTCATCGAGTCGACGGCCCCGAAAAAGTCCCAAAAGTCTTCGTCGAGCAGCTTGAGCGAGTCGCAGTCGTAGACCACACCGCCTACACACATTTCGTCTCTTAGCCCCATCCGGACCCATCGGATATTGGCTACCGTGCTGGCAGTAGACCGAGTTGTCGACGACGTAGTCGACGTGGTCGTTGTGTCGCACGGCCAAGTGGCCACAGCCAGGTCCGTGGCTTGGCTCTTGCCTACACGCAAAAGCAAATAAGCAAAGAAGCGTATGCACCCTCATCTCGTATGGGCGTACCCATGGGGCAGTGGCTCGTGCGGTCCGCGCGGCACGATCGCAAGCGACTTGACGCCGTCCATGCACACGAGCTGGTTGTTGACGATAAAGTCAAAGTGATTGCCGTGTTCGATGCTGAGGTGGCCGCAGCCGCGCGCGTGGGCGGCGTGGTCATGCGTCGGTGCGCACGCGTCCGCTTGCTTGGGCTGCAGCTGGCGCTTGGCCGCCTTGGCCGCGGTCTCGTGCACAAACTCGTGCTTGCGCAGATCGACCTTGCGCGCAAACCGGCGCGAGCAGCCCGGAAACGCGCATGCAAAGCGCTTCTCGCCACTACACACGGCATGAGCGACATGCTGCCGACGCCATATTTGTACGCTACCTGTGCGTGCGTTCGTGGGAGCGCAGGTCCGAGATGCGGGCAAACTGCTTGTCGCACAAGGCGCACGGGTACGGCTTCTCGCCCGTGTGCACGCGCATGTGGACCTGCATGTCGGCCTTGCGCGCAAACGTCTTGGGGCACAGCGCGCACTGGAACGGCTTGAGCCCGACGTGCTTGGTCATCTGGTGGCGCTTCAAGTTGCCCTTGAAGCGGAAGGTCTGGCTGCACACGTCGCAGACGTACTCTTCGTCCTTGGACGCCGTCGTCGGGCATTCGAGGAGGCTCGCATCACGCATCAACGTCGACAACATGATGGAGCTGATGGGGAATGGCAGCCTGCGGCCGTCGGAGTCGGCGATGCCGGCGCCAGGCCATTGGCTAAAAAGGCCGCCGTCGGAAAAGCTGACTTGAGACGCGCGATGTGCCATTAGGCAGCCTTTTTTCGCTCAAAATCGGTGGCCAGGTGGCCTTTCCATACAAAGTGCAAGTGATTTAAAAACAAAGTTGATTTTTATTATTCAAAGGCCGCCGGCGGGGCGACCTATCTAGATTGATACTATATCAATTGTGAGAGGTTCTGGGACGCGCCGATGATTGGGTGAACGCGCAGCACCTGCGACACCAAGCTACTTGACATCTCGTAGTGCCACGCAAATCGCTTCAACCTCGACGCTGCTATCAGCTCTTTGCGGGGCTTTCTGATATACTAGTACATACCAGTATATATGGATGGTGGTTGGCGGGCAACTGCAACCGACGAGGCGTGCCGACGAAAAGGCGGGTGGGTCGAGTTGCAAGGTCTATGAACCGGCACCGAAATGCGGCGCATGGCCATCCGCGCGTGTTGCGTGCTCCTGCACACCGCCCAGATCGATGGTGGATAGAGCCAGAGCGTACGTGATTTACTGTGGGTCTCTACGCTGCCGTGGCACCACGCGTCGTGTCAGCTGCTGCGGGTTTGATTGTGCGACCCTGGTTTGCGCTGTGCAAGGAGCTTTTCGAGGGCGAGCGGATATTGCCCAGGAAGCTGCTATCGGTGCCCGGAAGGTCGTTGGCGTGTGTAGCATTCTACTGTCCGAGTCATATCTCTCAAGTCGCTTGATGGAGCGGAGGGCATGTCTGTCGTAGTGGTGGGCTACAGGAGTGGTGGACGACTACGCTCCTTCCACAGTTGAAGAGCGTGTTGTCCAGCGTCCTGAACCTCCAAGACGGATTTTCTTTAATCGAACAACAGATAATTCTTCTCTTTTTCGACATCGACACAACCAACTTTTGATGCATTTTCAGATTCCTCTGGTATGAAGCACATTGCGGACCGCAAGTATACGACCGACTCGGACCTCGAGCGTGCGAATCTAACCGGCGGCACAATCGAGCAGGCCAAACCGATCTACATTGAAGACAAGTGGAGTCTCTCGGGGCTTTGGAACGACCGCGTCGCCCGGAAACGCGCCGTCTTGCTCGTCACGGGCCTCGCGCTGCTCTTTGTGGGCATGGCCCTCGGGT